TGTGCTATTTTTCCAGTTTCGGCGGGCATGAAACTTGTGTCGAGCGGACCGAACTCCAATCAATCCTAGAAGACTTCAGTTCGAATTTTTAATGAAATAAAACTCATTTTAGTGATTGACTAGGTAAGGGCTTCGAAATCCCAGCTTATGAGAAGAATCGAATTTTCGAAGTAAAATCAGTGGTCGGTTCTTACAGAGACAGCCTCTTAATTGATGAAAATTCAACAGGTTTTGTTTTAATACGTAAGTTAAAAAAGCCTAGTCTGTTTTTAGGTTTAAAGTTTTCTAACGGTTGTTAAAAATCAATTTCCCATTTATGAACGACGTTTACAGAGTTCCCTCACCTTTGAATTTAAATAACCTATTTTAGACATATTCAAAAAATAATGATCACCAACTTCTTTTCTTATGATTCAACATTGATTCAAACAATTGTTTGCGACACATCAAGTGTCTATTTCTGTGCCTTTTTGAATGCATCGCAACCACTTTTTGGCAGGATACTGTTCACAAATTTGTAGTTCTTCAGGGAAAAGTTGGGATATTTTTTTATGATATTGTGTTAACTTTCTCCTGATAAATTCAGTTTTATGGTCGATATCTTCCCTTGCCTGTTTTAATACAAACAATCAGTCTTCTATAGGAATACATATTTATTGTGATTAGTATGTTTCGTTTTCAGATATAAACTCATTTGATCAGAAATTCCGACCACACGTAGTGAGGTCGCTAAATTATGTTTAAACGTCACTGAGATGAAATCCAGCATCGTTGTTAACTCTTGGCATCGTAGGGCCTACATGTATTGTTTCCAACTCGCCTCATAATTCTTTCGTCTGTTGGAGTCCCCACTGCTGCAGAGGTCTGAAGAACTGTGCATGTAAGGAACCGTTTAAGAGACGACTTCAAGTTTTCTCCGTAGATTCCGTACAGTATTGGATCCAACGCCGTGTTCACAAAAATTAAAAGTTGGGATGCTCTCCAGATGTACCCATCATCTGTGAGTTGAAAGTACAGCAGCAATCGTGTGATTATAAATGGTGACCAACATCCTACAAATGCTACTGTCACGGCCACTAGAGGTTTGGCTGCCTTTCGATGCCGTAATTTAGAGCACGCAGCTGAAGAACAGTTTTGCGTCGGAAAAACGCTAGAGCGTAACGTTACAAAGATGGACCTCTGAGCATAAATCATATAGATTAGAGGAACCAGGAAGAAGCAAATGGAATGGATGCTGTAACAGATCTGTCGTCCTAAATCTGTGAATCCAATGTTTGAGCAGGACACCCCACCTGTGCTATCTTCATGTGCTTGACTGGCATAAAGCAAGGGCGAAGCTGCAACAAGGCTAACAAACCACAAGCCCGCCAGCTTTCGATAGACGCCTTCTGGAGCTCTGGTTCTTGTACTGAATGGTTCAATCACAGCCTTGAGTCTTTCAAAGCTGATAACAACCAGAGTCATTATTGAGGCAGTGTAGCAAGCTTCGATTAGAAAATGTTGTAGCTTGCAAGTGACCTGACCGCCAAGCCAAGTCCATATGAAAGTTATGAAGTCTAATATGGACAGAAACGTGAATGTGAGGTCAGCGATGGCCAAGTTGGCGATGAACCATTTCAGTGAAGAGGCTTTTCTCTTTATTGCTCTGTAACAGATCGACAAAACCAAACAGTTTCCAACTGTTGACAACATGAACACCAGAAAGTAAAAGAAGACGAATGAGACGACTATCGCTCTTGGAAATCCATTGCTTGTTGCCATAACTCGCTTCTTCAGTTTAACATGTGTTTTCAAACCTTGTCGACGATAACTTTCCTTTGTTTTCCTGGAATACCTGTATACACTAATCAGTGTCTAACCAAGCCACGTCAGTTTCTGGTCAACTTGTTCAAAGGCTATCTCTGGCGAAAGCAAACATTTAAATAAAACATCAGAACAGCAAGTGCAGCATCAAGCTGCAGTACTAATTTTGACGAATATAACTGGGTTCAACCTCATTGTGGCCAAAGAATACATATTGTGCAAAATTGTCTGATAATTACGAACCATAAATTTCTCCTTTAGAAAGACTGGTCATTGAGATTTACATACATGATATAGCAGGTCAATTACAGGCAACTTATAAAGTTGAGGTAGACCTGCGAAATTATCAAACAAAACAAAACGTGAAGTAAAATTTCATCCAATTTGATTGTTATTTTATTGGTTCATAATTTTCAAAGAAAACACTCCACATGCAAATTTAGGTTCAATGGGGAGTGTTTGCTATCTTTGTTTTCCTGTTTTTTTTCCTCTGTTTCTCAGGCATACAGCTGTTTAACAGTCAGATTTTAGTTTGCTTATGTCACTTCTGAGAGTTAGAAAGAGTGTGTTTTCCTGCAATTCTTAAAAAAAAGGAAACAGGAATTCCAATTTTTATTTCTTGGTAAAATATATCAAAAAATAAATTGTTTTCACGAACACTCCAGGTATTGTTTGCAATTTTCTTCCGGCTTAATTTCAAGATGATTTAAAGTTTTGGTTGGGTATAGAAGAGAGTAAATAAAGAGCACTTTAAAGAAGACAAGCGTGCTATTTACACCCTATAGTCAGTTTACCCAGATCATTTATCTTGATTGAAGATCACATAAAAAATCATGTGAGACTTCGATTACGTGTTCATTAGTATTCCGTGCTCGTATGATAGTTCGTCTTTTTGCCCAATTGGCAATCGGAAGAATAAATTTTCGTGTTAGAAAAAATAGAGAAATATCTTTATTAGACCGTGTTTAATTCTTTTCTTTTAAAGATGGCATCATCAGGGTTACTCAATCAAAAATTGATTTGAAACTGCTCAAAATATACGACTTTTGTTGGGCTAAATGGAGTGATATCAATGAAACTGAAAAGATCAATTACCGATTTTCTCTTGACGTGACTCCTGAAAAGCCTGATTTTTTTCCTCTTGACAGCAGAAAAATGAGTTGATCGTGCTTTCGTAGCTCTTTATTGCAGCCTACATCAGGACATACATGTACGTTGTAAAAAATGACAGTTTGTGTATTTTCCTATCACGATCTTCTTTTCCCTTGCTATACTATTCTGCAGTGTTGTTCTGTCCGTAACGTTTGTTTATGAGTTGAAACTTGTCTTTGTGTTGTCTTTTTCCTACACTTCTTCACTCTTGGGTTCGTTGCCGTTTTGTCGGTTGACTCGTTATTTTTTTTCTTGTTCTTAATTCGTTTCTTCGTTCGCTGGTTGGTATGTTCTAGTTCCTTAGACCCTTTCAAATCCAATTTGCACATGTAATTCTTCTAGTTTTTGTGACAGTTTCGTCTTTTAAGCCAGTCTGTACTTATCTGTACTGGTGAAATTCTAGACTCACCAGATCATTATGCCCAATTTAATTAAAACAACAAATCCAGTCCGGGGTATCCTGGTTGTGTGTCTTTTCTCAGTCGTTTGCCCACCGTGTTCCGCAATAAAGCCGGTTGCGAATAAATATTTCAAAGGGAAATTTCACCAGAAAAAACTGTTAATATTCACCATCACATGATAACATATCGGTTCAACATATACCAACACATTTCGTTTCTCCTTTATTGTTTAAATTTGTAAACCACAGTGGTGTTCAATTCGCTAATAGGTGTGAGGAAAAGGATTCTGGTACTTGTAGTCAGTTGACGCCATCATGCAAATCGCCTCCTGATAGTGAATCCTGTGCAAATAGACAAAGTTTACGCCACTTTTTACGTACTTTAATTAGCCTTTACCTTTATAATATAGCTGAAAACAAATATGAAAATAAATTGCAATTTTTATTCTGATACAGTCTGATGACTTGATGATTATAACCGTTAAAAATAGAGACAGATATATTTTTTTTGTTGTTTTTAATAGAATCCTTTGACCGGGAATGAAGCATACTTCACCAACGATATGCTTTTAAATTTTGACCTTATAAGAAAGCTCCGTTCTAAGTCAACCTGCTACTTTGTAAATGCAAGTTAGGACGAGAAATGCGCAGTAATGAATGGCAGGGTATTCTGCAGTTAAGCCACAAGTTGTAAGTTCTTGATTTACTAATTTAAAGATTTTAAGACGGAATCCACCAGAAGTTCGAGTAACAAGTGGACAAAAACCTAGTACCAAGATTATTTACTTCGCATTGCAAACTTCTGTACGACTGTTTTAAATATCTTCCCAAAACAAAAAATTCATTTCTAGCGACACCAAACGTCGAAAACGAATCTTGAACTTCATAGGAAACACTTGAAAGTACTGGTGAAATGAACTGATGATGAAATTGTGCCTGTGTTTGCACAAGTTCTCTGAACTTTGAAATTTATTTTCTCTCATTCCCATGGGAAATTGTTTTCGATGTTATTTCAGGCAATTATTTATGTATTTAGCTTTAAGAAAATGTGAAAATAGCTGTAAAATACTTAAAATTATTCTGGTACCAGATTTTTGTCCACAAACCTGAAATTGTTCGATTTTCTATCGGATTTCGTCTTAAATATTATTGTTACTGGAGAAAACTTCTATCGGTAAATACTGGCTTCTGATTGGTTAGAAGTGGATTAATTTATCCCAAATTGCACAGGGGACCCGAACGCTTTATCAACGATAAAAATAAATGTAGTTATTTACCTGTGTCCCTGTGTCTTTTTGAGTCGTTTAGAAGGGATTTGAATGAAGCGAAGGCAGTTTACATTTCCGAATATTAGGGACTTTAAAATAAGATACGTCGAGGTGCTACTACGACTACTTTGGCCGTGAGGGACTAGGCTGACAACGGTGTTTTACCCGCCAAACTCAACTGATTAAGATTTTGCTGTACGGCAACGGTATGTGCAGTCTCTACGTGTCTTTACAAAAATGACTATATTCAAGGAAACCAGAGATTATTCTACTTTCATATGAAAAAGGCTTGATTAATGACAATGATTTCCTTCTCCTGTAACCGTCTTACACCTCCCAGAACTCAGATTTGCCTTTAAGAACTTGATAGAACCGCCTGTAATTCCAATCACAAAACAAAATATAAATTCTCATGTAAAAAAGCTCGATTTCAACACGGACAGGTTGTTCGTACAACGATTACGTGATAAGCCCGAAAATACAAAACTTTCGATTATAATAAAATACATTATATCTCAGATTAGAACATACGAAGCTTTCTTATCTACGGCTATTCGGCCCGACACTAATATGACTGAATTGTTTCCTGTACGAATGACAAAGAAACAATGATCTAAGTTAGAACTGATTTTTATGATTGAGAACTTTATCTTCAAACTAGGCTGTTCAAACAGTGAAAAAAAGCGTTAAAATGAGAAGTGAACAGTGGGCTTGTATGCACGTAGTGAAGAGTAGGTGAAACCAGGCACTTTCCCGTAGTAGAAAGCAAGGCTAAGGCGGGAAAGCCGTACTGGTACGCGCGTCATGCCGTCACCGGAAGCGATCTTCACTATCTGCTGCCGTATAGCCTCCGTAGCAGGCGTATAAAGGGGATGGGGTGGAGGAGGGGAAGAGATTTCGAGGACATTTCCACTCCGTTTTTTTCTCCGAATTCTGTTCCTTCTCCCCCACCCCACCCCCCCTCCACTTTATACGCCTGCTACGCAGGCTAGCCGCCGTACTACTGCCTAACCGCACCATATTATCTCGTCAGCCGCTTTGTAATTATGACGCTCCGATTACGTCTCAGGTTTCGAGTAACGCCGTCCCCGCCACGATCGCTTTGCTCTCCGAATTCTTCTGTTTCGCGCTCGCCAAAATTTTTTTCCGCCCTCGCCGGGAGCCTGTTCGCAGGCTAGTAACGTTGTTAACTATTAACTCTCATCGGGGGAGAAATTCTCAGGTTTCATAACGGCCGTTTCTCGAAAATCCGTAGCACCTGGAAATCCTTAGCAAACTCTAAAGGCTTATGATTACAGAGCGGTTTCATTCACATGCTCTTAACATGATACGAACAGAGGGTACCTTCAAACAAGAAGTTTCAGGTGTATATATCCACCCCTCTGTTTTTAGATACACATTAACTTAGACATGTGAAAATGGCTTTGCAGTCCCGAAAAGTTTCCGGCGCTTTCGAGAAACGGGCCCGTGGCCGCAAATTCAGATCTAGAGAAAATGTATCAAGTTCATTATGGATAAAATTGTGTAAATATCAGTTCGGCGATGCACCATTTGTACGCATTCGAAGGTCCTCGTCTTTTTAACGCTCTGTAGCAGACATAAAGATCAAAAGAGTTCCCCACTCAGTGTTGATAACAAGAAAACCATGGAGTAAAAACATGAAACATACTTACATTATATAATCCTCTCCGTGTCTAAGTTGCACATAAGGCCGTAACGTTTCTCTGTGTATCATGCGGTCTTTTTACATGGCAGGGTCGCAGGTACTGCGCACAACGCACGTCCTTTTTTATCCTGAGCTAGGGACCAGGCTATGGAGAAGTTAAAAACATAAAACACGGAAATGAAACAACTATTATGGTTGGTCTACCACGGCTGCTTGCCATATTTTGTTTAAATTCACTTAAAGAAACCAGTGTAATCCAATGAATTTAATTCATTTTTACGGTTCTTCTGATCTACAGTATATTTGTTTACGTTTAGAAGGAAGGATGATAAGCATTCGTTTATTTGCTTTAAAGCACCGCCTCAAAATTTGCATAATAAAACGAACAGCGGCCATTAATTTTTTGACTGAGACAGATCACAGTTAAATTAAACGCAAAAAAGAGACAGCGAAGGTGAACAAATTATTACCAGCAACTATCTTGATTAAGAGGAATTACTCTACTCAAGTGGGATGCCCCATTGCTGTAGTAGTCACGTCCGCGATCAAAATTATGTCTTGTTATAGTTCTCGTTTTATTGTTTATGTTAATGCTGTTGTACATGTGTCTCCGGTGATAAAGTGGTGCAATGAGCGTTTGTCAGTTTACACAAACATCCGTTGACTTTTCTTTGGATCCGTCTCCGGCAGGTGTCAGGTATTTTTTCTATGTACTACAAGTATAGTTTCAACCGATACGTAATTTTCTTTAA